TGGATGCCGCCCCGTGAATCTTTTTCTTCTGGCGCGGCCTGTGGTCAGAACCCGTAAACCACAGCGAGGGCCCTTGGACGGAAATTGTGGCGAGTCAGTGTGCGAATGTTACGCCCATGGACCCCGTCATCATAACGCCGGATTACGTAGCTGAGGCAGTCCGTAGGGTTCCGAACTGGAAAAGTCCGGGACTCGACGGATTGCATCACAACTGGTTGAAGGGGTTCGTGTTGTGTCACGCTGTGTAATGTATGTAGTATATAAAATAGTTACCCATACCTAGTAAAAATATTATCTATACATATAATAAAATGTAAATAGCAGATGTCTGTACATTAGATTTATATAATAAAAGTGATTGAGAGGTACTAAAAATAAGTAATTAAATACATTTCTACCATTTTTAGATTTTTCTGTCTGTATGTCTGTCTGTCTGTCTGTTCGTTTGTTAACGTATCACGTATAAAGTACCAATTTATATCAGAAGAATTGTTAAAGAAATTATAAAGTGTATCTTCAGGTTACATTTAGTCTTTATTTCATTAATCTATGTTCATTCCATTAAAAGTTACGATAAATACTCGTATTCTGAAGTATGGCTACGAAGTATAGGTACGAATTTGTTCAAAAACTAATATCATATTATAAATCATAATTAAATGATGTAAAATCATTATTCATATATATATCATTATAGAACATTTTCTATAATGTTGTAATTATACATTAAACGCAGTAAACAAAAGTATTACATAAAGAACGTAATAAATATATACAAAAATATATTTACCTTAATCTAAATCTATAGTACAATAGTTAACCAATCTCATCGATAGATGGTGATGTTGCACAAATGTGATACAAAAAGGCAGGTTAAGGTATTTTCCTGTAGAGTGTAGATGTGTTTCACATTTGCTTCTAATCTTTATATTACACGCTGCCCTAGGTACTGCCTACTGCGTGTTGTCATTTATTTTTTACCGCCGAGTACTCTATGTGGTAAATCAAATTTCAAAAGAGCTGGAGTTTTGGCGGGAACTTGACCGGCTACGGTTTGCTGCTTCTGTATTATTGTTTAAATAATGGTTTGAAGTGGACTTTGATATGTAAAAGTGGTGCGATTTTGTGTATTAAGTGTCTGCGCATGTGAACTATTAGCGAAAACTGTGAAACAAGTGCTCTGATGGTGATGTGATCCTCAAAATGAGGTGTCTGTCTGCTTAGGCGCCTTGAGATACCATCGCCAACCGTCAGCTGTCTGCTGGCTCAAGTTGCCGTCAAAATCTCCCAAGGGCTACACAATGTGACACATCAACATATTATGAAGCAGTATACTATGAAGGATAATTATTATAATATATTGTGACTTCAGGCTCAGAAGGGCTAGATCCCAGAGCCGTAAAGCCAGTTATTAAGAAGAAGAGATCAAAAGAGCTATTAACAATTTCGTTAATAGCTCTTTTAACGAAATTTTTAATAGCTCTTATTAATTAATATAATATAATATAACCCCGTTATAAGTTCTTTTATGTTTTGATTGTATCAATCGCGTCAATTAATCTCTTATTTTTAGAATTGATGTTTACAGCGCCATCTCTCTTTAAATCTATACATATAATAAAAATGGTGATAACAACATGTTGTGTCTGTTACTGTACATTGTATAGTATACTAATTTGCGACTAAAATCATTATGGGAACTGAAAATCATTAAATAAGTACATTTTTAGAATTTTTAAAATTGTACTGTCTGACGGTCTGTGTTTGTTTATGAACGCATGACGTTTTGGGTAAACATATTATTTTCAATGAAATCCTTAACAAAATCATAAAGCGTATCATCAAGTTCATTTAATCTTTGTTTTATTAAAATTGGTTAATTCTATCGAAAGTTATGATTATTATTTTGAAATGTAGGTTCGAATGTGTTTAATGGCGCCATAAAATCTCAGAAATAGTAATAAAAAGATTCGTGTGTAAAAAAACGTGCTATTATAATAACATTATTAAAACACAGTAAAAAGAAATATGTTTTCCTTAAATTAAAAAAGGATGTTGTCTCACAAAGAACGTAACTAACATCACAAACATCAACAGAAACAAAAATCAGAAAGAATAAATACTACGTACGCCCAATGCCATTATGCAACAAAACCCGACTAAAAGTAGCAAAATTGCAATAAAATGTGGTGATATTTGTTTTATACCCAGAATCCCTCTAATACCAAATAACTTCCTTTCAGTTTTAAGATAGGGATGATCGATGTTGCAGATGCAGAAACATCGATGTTCGATGTTTTGAGTAGGCTAAACATCGAACATCGATGTTTCTGCATCGTTGACCATTATCGATGTTTTTTGTATATGTGTAGATACTTACACATTGTTTCAAAATTGTGCAAAAAACACAGCAAGGGAAAAGTAACAATTAACTTGGATATCGATTTACGTATTATAGTTATTATGCAACAACCGACAACGACACTACAAAATAAAGCGAAAGCAGTGACCATTGTTACATTACAGGTGACACTTGACAATTAAGTTTGACACACCATAAATGACATTTTTTTATGTTAACGATACGTTCAGGAATTCTGAATTATTCATCATTTTTAATCTTAAGAGCAGATGCAACATTTATTTGATATTGATTTCGCGGGTTCGCATTGTTTGCAAGTTCCCAATTAACGATTATGGGTTCATTGACATCGTTGTTTTCATGTTTGACATATGTCATGTTTAATTTTTAGCATCGATGATCATCGAATAGCTGAGTGGGAAAGACGCTTAAAATAGGGATGTATTTTGAGAGTGTTTCCCACGCAGCGTGTGTTATGCGATGATCGTAAATAAAGCGCAAGGACAAACTTTACGCGTTGCAGGAGTGGACCTCAGTACTGATTGTTTTGTACATGGCCAACTATATATTGCTTTTTCCCGCGTTAGTAGTCCCCGTAACCTTTTTCTGTACGTCCCGGCTAAGTCTACTTCTAACGTGGTTTACGCAGAAGCTCTATTATAAACGACTTAGACCTTTGAGCATATCGATTTATTTTGTTACCACTTATTGATACAGTAATGTTATAAATCGTTTAATATTCTTTTACCCTAAACGTCAAATTCTTTAAGTAAAACCTATATACGCGAGCTATGCCGCGGGCACAGCTAGTAATAAATAAATATTACAATAGATTTAAAATGAGAGAAATGCAGAGTATCACGAGTAGTATACTCATGATACTCTGCATTTCTCTCATTCTCTCCAAGTTTAGTTTTCTGAAGGTTGTTTGCATGCTTTTTTTTATTACACACAGAGCCAGTAATTCATTCATGGGCCACAATCTATACGGTTTTACAAAAAAAGTCAGTCCCGGAAAATAATATACAAGGTCTCTACTAACAAAATTAATTTTTATTTAACAAGACTATAAAAACGACTTAATTAAAATGGTTACTAAACACAGAGGTTTAAAAAATTGTTTCTCAACGTTTACGTCAACGTTTGAATTGTTTTCTAACAATCAAGCCAATTAGCACTTTTCTGCCGACTTCCAAAAAGGAGACGGTACTCAATTCGACTGTATGTTTTTTTTATGTGTGTTACCTCATAACTTTGTACTGGGTGAACCGATTTCGATGATTCTTTTTTTATATTAAAGCTGATACTTCTCGTGTGGTCCCATATGAATTTGATCAATGTCAGACCAATAGTTTTTGAGTTATTCTTAAATAACTTATATTGAAGTCGGCTGTACAAAATTTTTAATTTTTAATTATTTTTATTACATTCGAATATTGTCGGAGATATAAGTAGTTAAAACTAATAGCTAAAACTAAATACAATGAGATTGGTCATTTTCTTGACAGAAAATTTGTGAGTAGGTATATTTTACGTGGTAGAGCCACGCTGCAGCTATGTTATGCTTGTAGCACGAATGGGCTCGACCGAGGAAGGACCACGCTCTAACAGAATACCAGCGTAAAATAGCAGCTTAATGCTGATATGTATGTGTGTATATAAATGTGTTTCGTATGGTGAGTGTAGAGAACAGGAGACCCGTTTTACTGGAAATTAGGTATATCATCTTAGTCCTCAGGGGTGACAACGCATCTGCATTTTGATTCTTAATCGAGGATAAATGTAGATGTCTATGAGCCACAGCATCCACTTAGCATCAGATGTGGACAGTGTGCTTGTTTGTCAACTTATTCTAAAAAAAAATATCGTTATGTTTAATAATGTTAAATATCATCCATTTAATTACAGTAAAAAATAAATGCTTCTTTAAATAAATTACCTTGTAATGTATCTACGATATAATTATGGCCAATTATTATTTAAAAACCACTTATAAAATTATAAATGAATGTATTAAAAATATCTGTTTTCTTAATAATTGTAATAGAAATTCTTATACCATCTCTACACATTTTATGATCACAAAGCCCAATTCGCTGTGTCTTAATGTCCAATTATGATAGATATTTAAAGGTGGAATAAAAAGGGGAGATGTCCCACAGGGGCAAGGTGTTTTGCCCGGGGAGCGGCCAACGCACAACGCTCCAAGTGGTAGTTCGGAGCTATTATATGTAATATACTGTTTTTATTTCGGAACTTTGTAAGCGCGATTTAGGCTTCGATGTATATTCGCTTGTGGCGCGACGACAGCGCAGCCACAGATTAATTGCTATCTCCAATTACGATGAATTATTCACCGTGTAGTGGCGGTGTAATTATATCCACTACCCCATATCATCCCGTGGGTGTCGTAAGAGGCGACAGAGGGAAACAAACCGGATGATGGGCAGCAGCGAACTCGCCTGCCAAGCGCAGCAACCATGGCAAAAATCCCTACCCCTCTCCCAATATATGGGAGAGGCTTATGTGCAGCAGTGTACTTTTGATAGGCGGTAATGGTAATGGATATTATTATTATCATTGTATTAAGTATGTATGTATTTCCAATTTGTTAAAGAGTATTTTTATTTATTTGCAGGTCCATAATCGCAATGAATCATAAAGAGTTCAGGCGTCTCTTGACACAGTTCTTCCTTGCTATGCCCTTGGTAAGTTAATTACATACTTGCATTATGTTTAAGTTCTTAAACCTCATCATCATCATTACAGCCCTTCACAAGTCCAGTGTTGAACATAGAGCTCCACCAAAGAATGCTACAAAACTCAGTTCTTCCTGAACCACCTGCATCCATCGACTTCTTGCATGTCTTACCAGGTCGTCACTACATCTGGGACGCCCTACACTTCGACTGCCGGTACAAGGCTGCCACTCGGGAACCTTTATTCCCCATCGGTTGTGGGTTCTTCGAGCTATATGTCTGGCCCATTTCCATGCTCTCGTCATGCTCATGCCCATTGCTCTGATTTTACTGCGGATATCCTCATTTCTAAGTTTATCACGTAGAGAAACCCTGAGCATAGTCCTCTCCATAGCTCGCTGAGCTACCTTGAGCTTTCTCATACGGCCACCAGTGAAGGACCACGTCTCAGATCCATAGGTCATCAAACTACGGTTTACGGATTTTATCGCGTATATTAACTTATTTTAAATTCCCGACGTTGTATTATTTGATTTCATTTTATTAATTATAGGACCCTAAGGAGATGGTACCACCCAGCTATCTTCTCATCTCTATCGAAATTAGGATTGAAGTTAGTAGAGCCAGGCTGATTCTTTATTAGGGTTGTACATAATATAGCTGCAGAGTGGCTCTACCACGTATAAACGTAAGGCAATGTAACAGTAGTATTGCTTTCGTTTCCGGATGTATTTTACCTTCTTTTTTTGGAATAGTCGTTACCCCTGCACTAAAATTTTCTCCTGTATTCTGGATGCATTTTACACACATAAATAGTACATGGACAAATATTTGTTGCTAAAAATTCATTATTATTGGTTTTATTTTTTGTACGTGGGAGAGTTATGTTGCACCGTATTATAGTTGTAGCACGAATGGGTCGGCATGCCGGGAAAGGACCACGCTCGCACAGAATACCAGCATAAAATATATCGTTGTGGCCTTAGTCCTGTATCGATAATAAAACCTTACTCGTCTAAAAGTTCACAACGTTGAACGATTTACAAAAAAAAAAACAAAAATCGGAAGTTTTAAAAGAAGCCTTCGTCTCGGAAATCACTTCACGTTTGATATATGGTATACACTATATTAAATACTATAGAAGTAGTTGTCTTGCAACTCGTAAGAACTGACACTGGTAATCAGGGCCGGATAAGAACATGTAGAGCGTCTAAAGCAATGCAAGTGTCGGGTGCCTCTCCCTACTTTGTTACTGAGTTAATCGGCCCTGATACCAATCAATCTTAGTGAATAAGAAAATATATATAATATTTTAATTTTCAGATATCGGTGGTTAACAATGTTCTAAAATGGAGCATTGGCGAAGTAAAACTGCGACTTAGGACGAATCTTTCATTGTATCTATATCAAAAATATTTGAAGTAAGTTATTTTTTAATCACTTGCTAGTTTTTGTGTTTACAGGATAATTGATCTCCAAAGTGCATACATAACGCAGAACACAAATATTAGGTCCTTACATATGAAATTGTCGTTTTGTACGGGAGGAATATAAAATCAATTTTTTTGTTGTAAAATATATTTTTATTTATTTATTACAAAGTTAAGTAATTGACAGAATCAGGCGTTACTTTGCGGAAATCCATTATAATGGGGTTGTTATAAACTAATTTGCTTAATTCCGCGTAAAGAAAGAAAATGATGTGTCCTGCCCAGTTTTAAGGAGACCTAAACCTTGACCTTGACCTTGGTCCCCTTAAAACTGGGCAGGACACATCATTTTCTTTCTTTACGCGGAATTAAGCAAATTAGTTTATAACAACCCCAAAGTATAGTTATTTAATAACATCCGACAGTACAAATAAACTTATAGAAGTTTTTCCATGTACCGCAATTCGTAACTTCGATCATGTTCAATCGGTTCGCGTTGCCACAACTTATTTAATGACGTATATAAATGGTGTGACAAAATAGCAAGATTTTTTTTTAACGTGGTGTGTACCAAAGCAAAATATGGTTAGTATGTTAAATGAAAATTAGTAATTGAGATAATAATGTTATAATTATGTGTATCTATGTATATGTTTAGTAAAATTTTATTTATGTATATTATATTATGATGTGCGTTAGTGGATATAGTTTTATATTTTAGTTTAAATTATTATTAGGTATCGTTAACAATTTGTCGATAAAATACTGTTTAAGCATATATTTAATTTTTTTTTCAGTAAGTTCATTGTTATTGGTTTGGAAATTTGGTTCAAAAGAGCGGGAATTTGATATTGTAATCTAAAGAGCATTGGCAGAAAAATAGTTGACAAAAATTATAGCGTCTAGAAATAAGTTATATATAAAATGAGTTTTATTATTTTTTCTATGATTTTTCAAATAAAAATATATTTTAATTAAAGCCACAGAAAAAAAAAAACATTTTTGGGAATATCAAATGACATATCATTTTACTCTATTCAAATGTTGCCATTTAGTATATTCATACTATTTTCGTATACACTTTGTAACACTACCAACACAACACACAAAATATTTTTATATTAAGTTATTGTTAGTAATAACTGTACTATCAGTAATAACAAAAATAAAAGTTATATGGCTGAGAATAAGTCTCTTACAAAGAATTTCCCACAATAATACATCATTATCTCAATCATAGTACTATGTAACAATTCTATTTAATGTTATGCCAACACTAGCTGAAATAAAATGTCACTGATTTTTTACTGGCTTTACGGCTCTGGGTTCTAGCCCTTCTGAGAATGTCACTATGGTACAAAAGCCCTGGAGCCATGCCAGAAATATACATTTATAGTATGCAAATATATAATAGAGATACAATAATCTAAAAACTCTCAATTATGTATTATGTATTAAGCTAACATCAAACAACCACAGGAAGCATGACTTTTTCCAAGTGACATAGGACATAACCTAAAAAGGTTCAAATGTAAATATCTTTTTTTTGACGCCTTCTCAATACAAAATTCTTTGACAGAGTTATTAAGGGACTGACGCTTAACATTTTAGATATTTTTGGTATATAGACGCTACCATTTCTTCTCAACTAATTTTATGTATGAAAGTCTGCCATTGCTCTTTCCGTACATATTTTTGTATTTTGGGATAATCATATATGGATTGAGGGCTTGTCGAGTAAGTTGTACGGCTAATTTTTAATTCTTCCTTGCCATCATTTTCAAGTAGCAGTAGGTATTTTACTTTGTCGTGTACAGGTAGTATTTTGCAATGGTGGAAAAGACCATAAGGATTTTTTTTATATTTATCTTTTACTTTGAGAGGGGTGATGACATTTAATGATGCACAAAATTTAATTAATCAAAGTATGGACCGTTGTTATCCATGCACTTTTCCCATCTCATAGGTCGTTTATTGATCCCTTTACTAAAAAAACCATGGGGCCGAGAATTAATAAACTCTTTGAAGGCGGTTTGGACTGCCGCATCGGAGTTGAAGTCAATTTTCGTTTAGGGCAGGATTTGGCTGGGTCTCCAGGGTTCAGCCATTGCGACGAGCGCTTCCGATTTCGATCCGATCGTACAGTATCCACTTTTCATCCCAAGTAATGTTTCGATTTGAAATCTCTTCATTATTGTGTCGGTTGAGCAAAGTAACCCAGCAGTCGACGTGTGTTTGCAAGTTCGATTCACTCAATTCATGAGGTCAATCGTACAAGTTTTTTTACTTACCCGATTTGCTTCAAGTAGATTAATACAATTTTATCACGCCCCGAAGCCTGTAACTATCTCTGAAGTGCTTTGTGATGGATCGGCTTCCACAATAGCCTTTAATTCTTGATTTCCACGTCCACGGGGTTGGTTCTGAAGGTCGAAATTTCCAGAACGAAAACGTTGAATCCAAAAACGTACCGTGCTTTCTTTTGCGAAACCAGCGCCGTACACATCATTAATCCTTCGAGCTGTTTCTTCAGCACTGGTGCCACGGTAGAACTCGTACTCGTAAATATTTTTTTTTTATAGGAGAAATATTTTTTATAGTTCCAAATTTATAGCCGCATGCTCATTTGCCCCCAAATGAGCATGCGGCTATAAATTTGAATTTGGAACTCTTAACTAAAGAGTAGATATTTCAGATCAAAGTGGTCAGTAGGACAAAACGCTAATTTCATAATTCATAATTCATAATTCATAATTCATTTATTGCATGTCACAAAGTATAAAGTTGTTACAATATGTCTACAGAGCATGTGACAACCCTGTACGGGCGTAGCATATTAAGATCTATTTTAATTGTTAATTAATATGAAATCAAATTAAATTACAATTTTTAAGGTACATAATTATACATTATTATTAATTTATTTATTAAATATCAAACTAAATAAATAATACACACATTTATTTAAAATGAAATGTCAATAAATATTTCATCTTAACTATTGGTCATTTTAATTCATATAAATAAGATTTAAAACTTTGATGAAAATATTAATAATGTCATTTAAGTAAATAGAAATAATAAATTTTGTCAAAATAATTTAAATTTATAATTTGTCATTAAAATATTCATTTAAGTTATAATAGCTTTTTACAATAAGCATTTTCTTAAGTACTATTTCAAATTTACGACACTGGAGGGCTTTTATATTATTTGGTAAATGGTTGTAAACCCTTATTGCCATGTAGTAGGGACCATTTTTAAATATTGTTAGATGTGCGGTAGGAGCGACCAGGTTATAACCACGGTGACGTGCGCCATATCGATTGGGTCTATCCCCAATTCGTTGAAAATAATGAGGACTTTTCCTAACAAAGCGGCATAATTCAAAAATATAAATGCACGTCACAGTTAATAAGTTGAATTTAGGAATTTATTTTTTCATACATAGATAAATATATATGTAGCAAGATTTCATATGTAAGGACCTAATATTACAGAATTATTTTGTTTGTCATTTTTTTGGTATCGGAAGCCAATTCCTTTTAAAGTGATTCTAAATGACTCTATACTACCATTTTGTACAATAGTAGTATAGAGTCATAGTACAGTATATTCAGTAGTATAGAGTATATTACTTGCAACTTCTCTTCCCTGCAGTGACATTCACAAAATTTATAAAAAAAATAGACTTGTTTAATTCATTATTCATATAATTTAAGGAATTTTAAAATAAAAAAATTAAATAAATACATGTAAAGATTACATTCCTCGCTTTATGAGGTATAGTAGAATGTAACTTTAAGTAAAGTTACAAGAATATAACTTTAAGTAAAGTTACATTCTACTATACCTGCAATCATTTGTTTTATTCAATTAAAGTTACAGCCTATATACGTCCCACTGCTGGGCACAGGCATCATCTCATCTCTGAGGAGAGGGTTTTAGGGCAAGGAAATGACCGCCGCACTGCCCCAATGCGTGTTGACGAACTTCACTTTCCTCACGATGTTTTCCTTCCTCCACCTTTACCTATCGGGTCCAATTGTGAAACTAAACCATTCTCTAATTAACTTAATCCACATAAAATTTCATCAAAATCGGAACAGCCGGTTAGGAGGAGTTCAGTCACATACACACGGACAGAAGAATTATATAATATACGATATGCATGTAATATACATATAAACCTTCCTCTTGAATAATTCTCTAAAACAATTGATGCATAATGGCCTGTCCTTCAGAAGGACGAGGCCAACATCTTTATTCCCACGCTTCGACCTCTTCATTTTAGTTGGCAACTCCTCGGAAGGAAACACCCAGACAGCAGACTGTCTCTTATTTTCAGAATCATAATAAATCCAGCTTTCGTCATCCGTAAGTATGTCGAACACTGCATTTGAGTCACCTCCGTTAAATCTTTGAACCATTTCACGACACCAATCAACACGACGGAGTTTTTGGGCCTCTGTCAAATTATGAGGTATCCACCGGGCACAAAGCTTCCTGACGACTAAAAGTTCATGGAGGATTTTGTGCACTTGACTTATACCGATGTCTGAGCTTGTCCGAATCTGCTGATAACACTCTTTTGTCAATCTCTATCATACGCTGCACAACACTGATGTTATCCTCATTCGTAGCCGTAGAAGGCCGTCCCTCACGCAGATCATCGGTGAGATTAGTGCGACCACGTTTAAACTCATTAAATCAGTTGTAAACAGTAGCACCATATGGGGCTTAATCGTGAAAGGCCAATCGAAGTCTATCATAACTTTCTTGTTGACTTAAATGACATCGAAAGTCATAAAAAATTTCAATTTGCCGCCAAATCGTAAACAAATGACAAATTAATAAAATACATGCAAAACAATATTGACAAAGAGTTTTTATTTTCAAAATTTGAACTTATTTTTTTATTATATCGTTTACAAGTGGCCAGTTCTAAAAACTTTCAGTGTCTCCCTCTTAAAAATGGCTTAACTAAGTTACAATATTTATGCAAACTGTATATTTGCTTCTGGTAGAAGCAATTACTATTTTTTACACATAAATATCTGTACTATCTACTATGGCTGACATAAATTCAGGATCCATGTTTGATGCCATTTGGTATTGTCAAGATTATGGAGCAACTTGCTGAATACAATAAGGTATTACCTAAATGTAGTTAAATGAATCGCTCTTCGAAGCCGATGAAGCTATATCTAATAAAGAAGCTTCCTTAAATCCCTCGACCCATTGATTCTAATTTTCTTTATCATACACAAAAAACTTCTTTTGTGTATTTATTCTATCTATTATTCAATTTAGATTTTGCTAATAACATAAAACTTTAAAACTTTGTCACTTTTAACATAAGTACTAATAAGGTTCTCAGACCTGTGTTTGTCATTTGTTTTAAGTAATTCATCATAAATCATAGATCTTATAGATTTTCCAAAATTCTAGGTGTAAAAGTAAACACTTGTATTACAAACATACTATATTAATTAACTAAACTCATCACTTTTCATTTTTCGATTTCGAATGTTATTGGCAATAAATTGGTATCTTTTTTATGTATAACATTGAGGGTCGTTGAAATTTCTAGTGGGCCCAAAAACGATTGTCTCTTTTTACAGACTTATTAAGAACCTTTTTTATATATTAAGAACCTTTTTAACCTCTAATTTTATTTTTTAACCTCTAATATTATTTTTTAACCTCTAATATTATTTTTTAACCTCTAATATTATTTACCTTAAATATCATATTTCAACTTTCATTATGACAAGAATATAATGGAGTTGCAGAGTGATTCGAGCAAACGATGCTATTTAATATTTACACAATTGCACTGCAATATGTATTTGTTGTGACAAAGGCAGCCAGCTGGACATAATCTTATTTGAATTTCAAGTTCATTAAATAATATTTTGTGCCTATAATACTTTTATTAAAATTATTTATATGTGGTAGAGCCACGCTGTAGATATATTATGGTTGTAGCATTATCTACATTCTTTATCGAGGATAAATGAGGATGATGGGCCACAGCTCCACTTACCGTCAGGTGGAATTTGTGCTCGTTTTTCACCCCTATAATATAAAAAATACCTTCGTTCGTAACTTTAAAAACGTACTTCACTAAGAACTAAAACAATTTTAACATGAATAAGATACGTTTTAATGACACTCATACATAATAATATATTAAAATAGTTGAATACCTACTGACCAGCAGCAACTGAGCATCATCTAATGTTTGACCAAAACTTAGTGTGTTGTTCAAACATTATATGATTTTATTGTCGTATTTGCATACTCATTACTAATGTAAACAATCAAACTCAGTTTGTCACTGAGTACCAATAAGTATATTTATTGTCGTTATAACTCAACTTTATAAATTGTATGAAACGATTTTAGAGTCAAAGCATTGAGATAATATGTTACTACGTAATAGTAACATATTATCTCAATGAGTCAAAGGACTTTAGTTAGATTATGCCTCTATAAAATGAAATAAGTAGTAATTTACTATTGTTAAACATATAATATCGTAATAACTAGATCAATTTGTAAAAAAATATATTTACATTCAGTCAAGGGACCACTTTTAAGTACGTACAAAAAAAAACTTTTAAACTGCATTAATTTGGTAAATTGATTAGTTGTTCAGATTAAATCGTTTCCTTATTAAAAAAGAAGTCACGCTTAAGGACTAAGATGAATTGAGAGATTGCGCAGGGATTACATGTAATTTTAGATTATATTTAATTCCCCCTCCCTCGTCCAGTTTTTCCTCATCGTTCATCCATATATCTCACCTTAAGAGTAGAATAATTTGCCGGCGTCTGTCTTTTCGTTCGATTACAATCTGGGTGTCTTTAAGGTAACACTGAAAAGGTTTTCATTAAGCTAAGACAGTGCAATTTATTATCTAGAGAGCCTTAACACTTGCACTTGCCACCAGGTGGAATAGCAGTCAAGCACAGGCTTATATATTAAGTAACAAAATTTCTCAAAATCATGCTAGCTTTTTAGGGTCTCGTAACTACACAACAAGGAACCCTTATAGTTTCGCCATGTCCGTCCGTCCGTCCGCGGTTTTTCTCAGAGACCCTAGGTGCTACAAATCTGTAATTTGGCATAGTTATAGATATTAATCACGCCTAGAAAACATTGAAAACGACTTGTATACATTACTACTATTAGCTTTACTTTTTCATTTGCGGGATAGATAGGGTGTTATTATCAAAATCGCAAAGATTTTTAATCTTTTTTGAATACCACTCCCTATAAGACTGATTTGAAAATAAGTCCTTCAGTTACGATCTTCCTATTTGGGCCCATTTTTAGTCGTTATAGCGATCAAACCGCGAACTCACTTATTATGCTCATTATCAAGGAAGCCCCTGTATTGTGACGGGCAACTACGAAACTCTACCTATACATTGTGCGTGGCCCGACACGCACTTGGCCAGTTTTTTACCTATCAAAACAGAACACAGTAGTGTGTGTTCTACTGCTTGGCGGAAATAGGAAAGAAGTCTGTTTACGACAGACCATTCAGTGTTCCAATTTTTCTCTTTTCAGAGGCTTCACGTACTATCAAGTGACAAACTTGGACAACCGGATAGCGAACGCGGACCAACTGCTCACCACCGACGTCGACAAATTCTGCGATACGGTGGTCGACCTCTACAGCTACATCTGCAAACCTATATTAGACATCGGACTCTATTTGTACAGATTGACCGTCAACTTGGGACCATCGGTGAGTTACTACGTAATATATGTTTTAATATGTTATTGTATTGGAAATTGAATTTGCACTCACAAAAAAATTTATAAAGAACTGGCTGTTCCCCGCGACTTCGCCCGCGTGTAATTTAGGATTTAATTTTTTTGCGCAGAACCCTAATTCTTATTGTAAAATAAAAATAGCCTAAGTTACTCCTTATAATATCAGCTATCTGCAAGTGAAAGTCCCGTCAAAATCGGTCCAGCCATTTCGGAGATTAGCCGGAACCAAGCCAATAATTTTGTAATTTTGTAATGAAATGCCTACCTTTACACATTAACGGATATAGCTCAGTAAGTAATGACATTAAGTACATGGTATGCTAATGTTTTAGAATCCTTATGATATAGGCAAACTTTTTAAATGGTTGACCACACAGATCCTATACTTTTTTTTTCACCACAGGTGCTCAAAACTTAGCAGTTAAATAAAGTAAAAAAATTAAACTTATGTTTAATGCCGTCTTGTAAAAAATACTACCCATATATAGTAGTTGAAAACTTTTAAGGGTAATTTAGAAACATCATTATTAGGGAACACATTAAAAGAAAAAAAATCCGATCTAGGCATTAAACTGCGGACGTGATGACCACAAATGTGAGCAGAAGTACGAATTTTCGGAATTTTATAAAACATGGCGTAGACCGCGAACCGTTCGGGATAGAATTTTTTTTTTTAGGGAACCGCGTTTCTAATTTTGAACGTTATTAATAATATAGTATTAGACGTTGCCGAACGTGACGAAAAGGGTTCGCATTCAGCACATTTGACGTGGCAAACCACGACCTTTGATTTTTTATTGTGACTCGTTTCGTCCCTTTCAAGTAATTCAAGCAGAGGTATATCTTAACTAATCAACTATTTACTTAGATATATTTTTTACTTATTTATCTTGATTAAATAGAAAAAATTAAATGCATATGTTACGAACATAAGTCGCGTTGGGACGAAATTCTCACATGTTAAAAAGGTTACAAGCAATTTCGACAAGATACTCAATTGTGGAACACATTCAAACATAACTTCTATTGTTATTCTTTTTTTTTAAACGTAACCATTAGAGGTTGCCTCACTCTCATAGCCCGATGGGGCGGTAAACCGTCACGACCGGAGAAAGATCAGGCGTAGGACCAAACGGCTTTACGTTAAGGGATCATCTTACGTTGCCAGCAATCGGCACGTTATTAATTAGTTAATTTTTTTTTCAGACTCCGGGCATAATGATGGCTTATTTGTTCGTATCTGGAATGTTTTTGACGTACCTGAGAAGACCAACTGGTGAGTTGTTAACATGAAATATATAAAAAAAAAGAAAAAAGCTCATACAAGATCATACAAAATAAAAAAAATATATAAGACAATATACAATAAAAAATAATTGAACTAGACAAAACAAAAGAGAGTCGAAAATATTAATCAGAATAAGACTGAAAAATCTATTTAATAAATAAACTAAAAGTAACAAATTAACATTAACAATTAAACTAGCCATCTGCTCAGAACAGGATTATAGTGCCCGAGAGGTAGGTACACTCTCTATTCTGTCACTCTCATATCTTGATAGGACGGCAATCCGACATGACCTGAGAGAGATCAGGCGCAGCGGGTGAAACACAATATCGCTATTTTAGATTATTTTGTACCCGCTCTCATTTTAACAATAAAAATGCATCGTTAAAGAGACATCTCATTGATTAACTTACTACTTACACGCGTAGTTAGTCAAGTTAATAATAGTTTGTGTGTGTGTGTGTGTGTTTTTTTTTGTTGTGTAACTACTAAAATAACTAAACTGCCAGTGGCATTGAGGTGGCATAACATTAATTTCATTCGTTTTTATCGTTTTCTATTAGCGTTATCGATTGTAAAAAGCGGTTTGGTTAACCCCGAAGGTATGTTTTATCTGTACTGCAGCGTTGCCGCAAGGTGACAGATTTGTGCCGAACACTGAGACGTACCTAGTTTGTTACTTTAAATTTAATTAAAGGCTGATTTTTTTTTAATCGACGTATAAAAGTTATTCATACTACATCACAAACAAATTAAAAATTAGAGTTATATATGAATGAAATAGTTCATATTGTTTCACTTTTATATTCAGTTAGGTTAATTTTTTTTTTTATAAATGTTAGCGTGTCAAACGAGCACATAGTCTATCTGGTGGTAAGTGGATACTGTGGCCCATAAACATCTACATCTAACCTCGATAAAATGCAGATGCGTTGTCCTCAGACTAAGATGGAATGCCTCGTTACTAGGGGTCGTAAAAGAAGTCTCCGGTTCTCTACACTCTCTCATACACTCCCCATATGAAACACAGCAGCTGTATATTTCACGCTGTTATTCTGTGAGAGCGTGGTCTTTCCCCATCGATCCATAATATGGCTGCAGTGGCTCTACCACGTATACACGTACCTAAGTAATACATAACTCTAGCCCTAAGTAATTAGAAAAAGTGCCTTTAATGTGTGTTTCATTTTTTATGTTATCTATTGCATTTCAGCTCGCATGACGGTGCAGGAGCAAAAACTTGAAGGTGAATACAGATACGTTAACTCTAGACTCATCACGAATTCAGAAGAAATCGCTTTTTACCAAGTTAGTATTTGTATTAAAAAATATGTTTTATTTTTATATTAAATAGGTATTTCTGAAGAGTTAGTTCCATAAAGAAATGAACAAACAAGTTCAAACCCTAAGGTTGAAAAAAGAGAGGAAGTGAAGTTTTTAATGTAACTATTTAGAAGAAATTCAATTTGTTGAGCTTGTGATATTATTCAGTCCACTCAAAAGGATTAAAAAAGGATTGGTTCGTACTGGCATGCGAAGTGTAGGGCGTCCCCCCACTAGATGGACATGCAGGAAGTCGATGGATGCAGGTGGCTCGGAACCGTGCTTTATGGCGTTCCTTGGGGACCTCCCCCTATGTTCAGCAGTGGACTTGTGAAGGGCTGTAATGATGATGAATGATGATGCAACGGTGGCTTGGAGACGTAAAATAGAATGAATGCGAAACGAGTGACAAAGCAAATTTATGCAGCGGAAAATGACCATGGTGTATGTTATTACTTAAGTTTTTCCCGCAAAATATATTTCAAGTACATCGAGATTCAGCTTTATTCCCAAAATATTTTCTACATATGTCCGTAGATCATGCTGCAGCTATATTATGGTTGTAGCACGAATGGGTCAGCTCGACCGGGGTAGGACCACACTCTCACAGAATACCAGCATAAAATAGCAACTTAATGCTGCTGTGCTTCGTATGGTGAGTGTAGAGAACCGGAGACCCTTTTTACTGAATAGGAGGCATTTAATCTTAGTCCTTAGGGGTGACAACGCATCTGCATTTGGATTCTTAATCGAGAATAGATGTAGATGTCTATAGGCACAGTATCCACTTACCATCAGGTGGGTTGTGTGCTTGCTTGTCACCTTATTCAATAAAAAAAAATATAAATAAAAAGATCATATTTGCTTTCTCCCACTATATATATTGCGTAAATATCACCGAGAATAATCCGATAATTAAGAACTGCATCCTAGGCTGTTCGTCGCTTCTGGCGACTAAAGGTCTGATTCTTTTTGAAAACGCAGCCTGCGTTCTGGGCACTATTTTAGACACTAGGATTTCCTCCTTATCTTTGAGGCAGTTTACAAATATAAATTGCATAAGGACAAACATCTGGTCCTGGCACAATTATTTGTAGGCCATACAAATATTTGTTCCCCGCAGAATACGAACCTGCGGCCCTCAGCGCCACAACTCAATGCTAAACCACTGCGCCATTGAGCCGTCACAGAGATAAATCTCAAAAAGTATTAATGAGGACTAAATCTCTGGGTGTATGGCTATATTATTATATTTTAAGTTTTATTTTATCTAAATAAATAAAATAATAAAGGTCTGCAGTTGTGCGCGCGTCACGGAAAAACTACTGGATAGATTTCAATTAGATTTTCTAAGTTTTAATTCTTAGATACTTGGCCTTTATCTAAAACATAATTATTGCTATATCTTCATTTAATATAAAGTTATTAAAGTTTTAAGAAACAACGATTTTTATAAGCACTACGTGTTCAGTGATGTGTGTTTTCTTGATACGAGGATGTCACTGAAAGTTCTTAAAAAATCAAAAACTGAACAAACTAGAAAGTTATTACTTTTATTATATCTTTTCAAAATAGTGTCCATTTACATCAATACATCGCTGCATCCGATGTTACCACTGAGAAAAGCACTTTGCCCACTCGTCCTTAGGGGTCTCTTCGACGGCATTTTAAAACGCAGCCACTGCTTCCCCGGCGTCCATACAACGTTTTCCTCGAAGTTTTTCTTGTGACCCAGTAATTCCACGTCTGGCGTCGCCAAGTAGTCGATTGTTTGCTTGGCGGTATGCGACGAGGCATTGTCGTGGTGAAGGAGGATCCTACTGCGAGGTCGTTACTCCCGAACTTTTTCCAATACAAGTGGCAAACATTTGTTATTGTACCACTCTGCAGTAACTGTTTTTCGATCCTCTAAAACAATGCAAAAAAAAAACTAAAAAACGTCTTCCAATACAGCGGTGAAGAGTTTCGGGGATATAACGTCACCCTGTCTTACACCTCTCTGCAGTTGGATAGGTTTCGTACTCTGATTCAGTACTCGGATAGCCATCGTAGCTCTACTGTACAAACACTTCAGCACTTCGATATACCAACAGTCAACTTGGCACCGCTGAAGGGACTGCATCACCGCCCAAATTTCGACGGAATCAGAGGTTTTTCATAGTCCACATACGCCAGGCATAGTGGCAAATTGTACTCCTCCCTTTCGGAAACCGGCTTGTTCGGGAGGCTGAAAGTCGTCAAGTCTGCGTGCGAGACGATTCGTAATGACTCTCGAAAACAGTACGTCGACGCTGCTCAGAAGGGAAATCGGTCTGTAGTTCTTCAAAAGAGCGTTGTCACCTTTCTTGACGAACAAGACCACCGCACTTCACATTGCATACCACATTGCATAATGACCTGTCCTTCCGAAGAACGAGGCCACCATCTTTTTTCACTCAACACGACGGAGTTTTTGGGCCTCTGTCAAATTATGAGGTATCAATCGGGTACAAAGCTTCCTGATCGCTAAATGTTCATGGGGGATTTTGTGCACTTGACTCATACCAATACCTAAGCTTATCTGAATCTGCTGATAAGTCACTCTTTTGTCAGTCTTATATTATACGCTACACAACACTGATGTTAACTTCAGTCGTCGCAGTAGGAGGCCGTCCCTCACGCAGATCATCGGTGAGATTAGTGCGATCACGTTTCAACTTATTAAACCAGTTGTAAACAGTGGTACGAGATGGGGCTTCATCGTGAAAGGCCAATCGAAGTCTTTTACAACTTTCTGTTGACTTAAATGACATCGAAAGTCATAAAAATTCATTGTACGAAAAATTTTCTTGCGTAAATTCATGCTGATGTGACACAATCAATTTTCCATTTGCCGCCAAATCGTAAACAAATGACAAATTAATAAAATACATACACAATAATATTGGCAGAGTTCCATTTTCAAAATTTAAACTTATTTTTTTTTATATAGTTTACAAGTGGCAATTTCTAAAAACTTTCAGTGTCGCCTTCGTATATCAAGCAACGCGGATGAAGTCGCGTGTTTCAGCTAGTTGTTCTATAATATTGTAAAATATTCTATAATCGTATAAACATGTGTCTTCTGGGGATTGAACTGGACTAGATTTAGTCGCCCCCAGTCTGAGACTTTGTTCAACAAAGTCTCGACTTCAGACACAAGTTTGTTCCTGTACCGTAGAATGGTCCTACTTTGCTCCAATATTTGCTCCAAAAAAAGGAAATTACGAATATTGTTTAAACTATTAGTTATGAAATATATTAATTTGAAGCACAACATGTTATCTAACATATTTTTAAAGTTAAATCAACATAATTAAGTATTTTATAATATATATAAAACTACGAACAAGGCGCAAAGTTACCCATGACTATGGGTAACTTTGCGCCTGTGTATATTTCACAAGCAATCTCCATTGTGGAAGCTTTTTTAGCAAAGTTATACTTTCCTTATTCAAACTTTGCTCCCGTGAAATTACTCTTTACCTTTTTTGATAGTATCAATGGTCGAAAAATGGGTGAAAATTAAAAAAAAACGTGTTTTTTAAAGAAATAGTGTTATATACTTAAATTTAGTTACAAAATCACTTTGTATCATTGTTTTTTTTTTATATTCTTAAATTATAATAGTCACTGCTATCTTAACTAGTAACTTTGGTTACAAATGTTTAGTCTTTGGACAAAAATCATTCAAAAATAAACTAACGAGATACACTTCTCAAAAATGAATATTTACATCTAAAAGTATTTATGAAACTTCAACATTTTTAAACTTGATATACTTAAAAACCCCAAGTTTGGTCTAGTTCAGGGACGGAATATATTTCACGGCGGGTACTAATTTTTTTAGGGACTTCAATACATCCCAATATATCCTGCCAATTGTATTGAATTTCATCGACGGGTTTAGGCCACGTCCAGGATTTTAGTGACCTCTTCATTGAAGAGATATACGGCCCTTCTTTAGTTATTTTTGTGATTTTACCAGGAAAAATTTCCTCCTCATACGTAAAGACTACATATTGCCCGACCGCCTTCACAATTGGTTTGAAATTGCAATTTTCATTACAAGTTTCGGCCGCTGTATCAGTATTAGCTTCAAGATTTTCTAAATCTCCAAGAGAACCTAGATCGGAAGAATCATGAACTGACATGTCGTTACTTTCTGCGTAAGAGCTTTCACTACTGGCTCTGCGGCGACATGGTATCTTTGAAGTTGACGGTTGAGCCAACTCTTCATTTTCTTTATCATCCAAAAGTGTGCTTAATTCTTCAGTTACACTTTTTCCAGGAGTGATGTGTAGTTTCCTGCGACGTCCTCTTGTAGTTCCATTTGTCGTCCATTCTAGCCTCTTAGCTTCAAGACTCTGCAGAAAAGAGTCTTGCAAAGCAGTCTTGTCAACAGTTGTAGGCAACCTCTCTAATAATGGATTGGCATCAACCGGATAAATTCCACATTTCCGAAAACCTGAAACGAGGTTTACCTCTCGCGTCGGTTCCAAAATATCAATGAGTCGGTTTAACAGAACTGGGAAACTGCTTTTTTGGAGTACTTGCTCTCGCCTACCTTGAACACTCGCCTTCCACTCGGTCAGGATTTTTCTCCATGCTACCTTCATTGGGTGGAAAAAGGCAACATCTAACGGCTGAGTTAGATGAGTGCTATTAGGTGGCAAACAAACAAATCTAATATTATTTTTGTCACAAGCATTTAGGACGTCTACAGAAATGTGAGATGACAAGTTATCTCCTATTATAACTTTCGGACCCTCTTGTTTCTTTAATATTGGCAAAATTTGTGTAAAAAACCAATCGTTAAATATATTCATGTCAAACCAACCTGATGGGCTATTGTTAAATCTGGCATCTTTTGGCCCTTGTTCCGTCCATGTATTCCATAGTTGCTTAGATTTATAGACAATATACGGCGGTAATAATTCTCCCTTAGCATTACCACAAAACATGATAGAAGTTGAGCTTTTGGAGGTATTACTTATAAGTTCAGGGTATTTTGCACCTCGCTTCGCTATTACTTTTTTTTGACCAGGGTCGTCGGATAAATTAGTCTCATCAAAATTCCATAAATTTTCGGGCGGTATGTCTCTAACCACCTCTTTCAAGTTTTCTATGTAGGCAGTGATGGTTTCCTTGTCAATGGCTGCTCTGTTGCGTTTAATGTTGGTCGCAAATCTTTGTGATAAACATGAATGTCTTTTTAGGAAACTTGACACCCATTCAGTACCTGGACAATTATTTTTAAATTTTGTAACTCTCCGACCAATTTTCTCCAAATATGTTCTAATAACAATGCGAAGATCGAAAATTGTGAGAGGAAAGCCGTACTCGCTCAGCCTTAAAATGCAGTCGACAAATAAGGCTTCTTCTTCACTTGAAAATGTTGTTGGTGCGCCTGGAGGTCGAGATGGCATTTTAGATCGTAGGAGTCTTAACTGATTAATAATGGTTCTGCGTGGGATGCCATACTTTTCACTAGCTTTTCTTTGCGTTATTTCTTTATTTTCTATGGAAGCCAAACATTGTCTTAAAGTTTCGGCGCTGTAATTTTTATAATTTCTCGACCCTATACGTTTTTTATAATTTCTTGGCATCTTTTCTGAAAATAAATAGTAATTTCTTTGATAAAAAGTATATTAATAACCACTTACAATGAATAAACTATGTTTACTTTTGTAGGGATTATGTTTGGGTTTACTTTGCTCCAGGCGCAAAGTTACCTTATCGTACCAAAGAAAATATGAGCATGCCAAAAAAGTGGGGTTAGATTATGACAAACTCAGCAATTCAATGAAATATTTACGTATTCGTTTACCCGATTATATACACAATAACATTAGAACATAATTACCTTAATGCGCTATGCAGATTTCAAGATGGAAGTGGCTTTTTCGGATACAAAAAAAAAACCTTTATTGTCTTACACTACAGCTGCACCTAACATGAGAAAAAAATGGCGGATGAAAAATTTACCAGTTCTGTGTTGCCACTTATTAGTAAAATTTTTCGGATGCGTTCACAATTAAACGAAATGTTGCGCCGATTTGGACATATTAAGCGATAAAACATTTATGAGAATTGGAGCATAATTAACCATATAGGAGCAAAGTAGGAACATTTTACCTCGGCGACATTTTCCCGAGAAATATTGGCACGGCCGGTGTATAAAGCATCACCAGTGCTGTCGTCTGCATAGCAATGAATATTACTGGTTTGCAACATATCATTGATATGCAGAAGAAACAGCGTTGGTGATAGCACGCAGCCTTGTGGAACACTACGACCTTGATGCTCCGATCTGCAAGAAAACTGGTGATCCAATTGCACAATTTTTCGGGAAGCTCATAGGAAGGCAGCTTCGTAAGAAGCGCTTTGTGCCAAACCCGATCGAAAGCCTTCGCTATGTCCAAACTAACGGCCAATGCCTCCCGATTGGACTCCACTGTCTCCGCCCATCTATGAGTTAGGTAACGTAGAAGATCACCAGCTGAGAGACCTCGACGGAAACCGTACTGGCGGTCACTAATCAGCTGGTGACCCTCAAGGTACCGCATGAGCTGGATGTTAATAATGTTTTCCATTACTTTGGAGAACAAGGAGGTGATAGCTATAGGCCTGTAGTTGGACGGATCTGAGCGGTCGCCTTTTTTAGGGATCGGGTGCACCAAAGCTGTCTTCCATGAATTCGGGACTCTGCCTAGGGAGTCGGAGTACCGAAAAAGTAATACACATTATACCCTCTATAAATTGCCGTATAGTGGCAGCGAAAGAAAAACTCATATTATCCCGTGGGTATGCACGAGGCGTCAAAGGAAAATTAAAAAATGAGATGAACAGCAGCCTTTTTCTAATTACAACTAATATAAAAAAATTAAAAAACCGCGCTCTCTAACCCGTTTCCCAAAAGTGACTTAAGGGCATATCTTATGGTACAATCTTACAGCTATTCAACAGTGACTTGATGGGCTAATAAAAGAATAAAAACCTTTATGATAGAGCTAAAGAATAGCAAAGAAAATGTTTTTTTCTTTTTTTTAAATCCCTTTCAATATAAGACTTCAATATAAATTATTAAGGATAACTCAAAAACTTTTTACGTGGTAGAGCCATACTGCAGCTATATTAGTAGTATAGTTGTAGCACGAATGGATCGGCTCGACCGGGGAAGGATCACGCTCTCACAGAATACCAGCGTAAAATAGCAGCTTAACGCTGCTGTGTTTCGTATAGTGAGTGTAGAGAACCGGTGACCCTATTTACTGGAAATGAGGCATTCCATCTTAGTCCTCACGGGTGACAACGCATCTGCATTTTGATTTGTAATAGAGGATAGATGTAGATGTCTATGGGCCGCAGCAACCAATTAACATCAGGTGGACTGTGTGCTCGTTTGTCACACTTATCTTATAAAAAATAGTAAAGTTTTAACATATCTTGTACTTGGTCCCAGGGCAACCATCGCGAACGGCTCACAATCCTGGCAAGTTTCTACAAGCTGACGCGTCACCTACGAAACTTCCTGCACTTCCGCGTCCTCATGGGATTCATAGACAACATCATAGCAAAATGTAAGTAGAGACTTTTATTAAACAGAAGTAGTGATTTTATTAGTGGAAGATTTTTATGAAAACAGAAATATTTTTAGTCAGTCCGTAAAGAAGACTCTTTTTCCCTGCTGAACGTAGGCCTTTTCATCATCATTATAGCCCATCACAAGTATACTGCAGAACATAAGCCTTCCCCAACGGACGCCACAAAGCAGTCCTAAGCCACATGCATCCATCGACTTCCTGCCTCTCTTTTTTATGGAATAAGGCTGACAAACGAGCGCACAGTCCACCTGATGGTAAGTGGATGTTGTGGCCCATAGACATTTATATTTATCCTCGATTAAGAATCAAAATGCAGATTCGTTGTCACCGGCGAAAACTAAGATGGAATGCCTCGTTTTCAGTAAAAAGGGTCTCCGGTTCTCTATACTCACCATACGAAACACAGCAGCATTAAGCTGCTATTAAATGCCTCCTCTACACTACTCGCGAAGTAGATCGAATTTGGACGAGGCGAATAGTGTAGGGAGGTACTTCGATTCTCTTCGTGCAACCTCTTTTCGCCTCGGGCGACTTCCGATCGCTGTCGGTTTTTTTTGCGCCAGAGTCAAGGGACTTCGCGAAGTACCCCGAAGTTACACGAAGCGTCTCACTGCACTACTCGGCGTACGCCAGTTATACGAGGGCTGCACTAAAAGTATCGGGAATGGAATATTTCCACTGTTCCTGTCATATTAATATTTTTTTAATTGAAAAGTCCTTGGTTTTAAAAATCGAATACCATTTATTTATTTAAAAAAAGATTCTCGGTCTTGTCACAAGGTTTTGTTAAACTTGTTTAGTCGTTGAGAAAATGGAATTGACTCGAGAAAATTCAAGAGCGATGATTTATTATGACTTTCGAAGTGGTTTAACACAAAAACAGTGTGTTGACCGGATGATTTCTGCATTTGGTGATGAAGCCCCATCCAAAAACATAATTTATCGCTGGTTTGCTGAATTTCAACGTGGACGTGTCAAGCTCAGTGATGATCCCCGTCAAGGTCGTCCAAAAACTGCAGTCACCCAAGAAAACGTTGATGCTGTGCGTAAGCTGATTGAGGAAGATCGACATGTGACATACCGCGAAATTCAGGCAACTTTAGACATTGGTATGAGTCAAATACAAATAATCTTGCATGAACAATTAGGTGTAAAAAAGTTGTTTTCCCGATGGATACCGCATTCGCTCTGTGAAGAGCAAAAAGCGGCTCGCGTTACTTGGTGCGTCAGGACTCTCGAAAAATTCCACGCAGGATCCTCAAATGCTGTATACAACATCGTATCAGGTGACGAAGCCTGGATATGCGCGTACGAACCCGTAACAAAAAACCAGTCACGAGTTTGGGTGTTCGAAAATGAGTTAAAGCCAACAAAAATTGTTCGTTCACGGAGTGTTGCAAAAAAAATGGTGGCCACGTTTGTCTCCAAAACCGGCCATGTTACGACTATTCCTCTTGAGGGACAAAGAACGGTTAATGCAGAATGGTATGCTAGCATTTGTTTGCCACAGGTCGTTTCTGAACTCCGTAAAAAGAACTGCAACCGCCGCATCATCCTCCATCACGACAATGCGAGTTCTCACACCGCACACAGAACAAAAGAGTTTTTAGAGCAAGAAAACATAGAATTATTAGACCATCCGCCGTACAGCCCCGATCTAAGCCCTAATGATTTCTATACTTTCCCTAAAATAAAAAATAAATTGTGTGGACAGAGATTTTCATCACCTGAAGAAGCTGTGGACGCCTACAAAACGGTCATTTTGGAGACCCCAACCTCCGAATGGAATGGTTGCTTCAATGATTGGTTCCATCGTATGGAAAAATGTGTCAAATTTCGCGGAGAATACTTCGAAAAGCAATAAATACATTTTTAAATAGTAATGTTGTGTCACTTCCTTGATTCCCGAAATTTTCAGTGCCGCCCTCGTATATTAATATTTTTATATATAAATATTAAATATGTAGCTTTCTACATAATTAACGCATTGACGTCGTACTGTCCACACAATTGCGTACCTATCAGCTGCCTCTTGAACGTTATTCATGTTAAGGATGCGGAAGACTCAAGACGACTGAGCTCTTCGCGAAGTAGCACGAGTGTGTAGTCACGTTCTTCGGACTGCAATCGACTTCGACGAGCACTTCGTCAAAGTTACTTCGCGAGTAGTGTGGAGGAGGCATTACGCTGGTATTCTGTGAGAGCGTGATCCTACCTGCCCCGGTCGATTCTCACATCGATCCTTTTCATATAAGGAAAGCATTTACTATAATCGTATTGCTTGCCAAACGTCTGAATATTTAAGCTGTTCACCTGCAATTCCACTGGTGTTGCAGTTGTTCATAGGCGGCGGTCGACACTTTCCATCAGGTGAGCCGCATGCTCGTTTGCCCCCTCTGCTATAAAAAAATATTATGCTAATGTATTCTCTTACGTTGCCAAGAATAGACTTTTAATTTAACATTTTTTTTTTGTTATAACATTCTTTATATCCTATAAAAAAATATTACAGATATTGCAATAACGGTCGGTTTCTACGCTGTTTCAAGACCCTTCTTCGTGAAGGACCACAACTTGCTTACCAACAGCACTGAAAATGAACGATTCAAGGTAAAAATTATTACATTTATTATAGTATTTTATTATTACATTTAAAGTTAGTGTTTTTACTTTGATGTAAAATGCCGTTATATATTTATTTATCATCAACATCATTACAGTCCACTGCTGAACACAGGTCTACCCCAAGGAATGCCACAAAGCACGGTCTTGAGCCACCTACATCCATCGACTTCCTGTATGTCTTACCCGGTCGTCACGTCGGTTGTCGATTCTTCGAGCTATATGGTCGGCTCATTGCCCACTTCAGCTTACTAATCAGTAATCCATCGTATGTAATATTTATTTATATGTATAAACCTAAAAGTGAAATTTCCTACAAATTAATTTGATTGTAGCTAGAACAATTTTTCGATCCAATAAGTTTTAAATCGTTCAAAACCATCAAAAAGTCATTAAAAATATACAATGAGAAACTAATTTAAAAAAGCAAGTCTATAGTAGTAGTATAGTAGTCTATAGGTAGTGATAAATTACACACCGTCCACCATCATCTCAAGACGGCAAACCCTACCTTGCTCTTTCCTACCGCGATTCAGTTAACCTCTCTGGCTGATATTTCTTATTTATTTTATAGGTTTCAAATTGGAACACAACTTTGTACCTATTCCAAACTCATTGAAAACAGCCTTAGTGCACCCGATCCCTAAAAAAGGTGATTGCTTAGACCTGTTCAACTATAGGCCTATCGACAACACCTCATTATCCAAAATAATGGAATCCATTATTAACTTTTCGTCGCGGTCGTTTCCTGTCCATCTGACATATTGATGAACGGAAACAGTTATGACCAAGGGGGAGACTTTGGCGTTTAATTTGGACATAGCGAAGGCTTTCCATTGTGTTTAGCATAAAGCTTCCCTCTTATGGGCTTCCTAAAAAATAATGCAACTGGGTCATCAGTTTTCTTGTAGATTAAAGTCATAGTCGACGGTGCATGTTCCTCATGACACGGCCGTGTGTTTCACATGAATACGTGCACGTAACGGAACAACCACAATATGGCGGCTCTTCCCCCTCCAACATGCGCGATGTGTCACAGTCCTCACTTAACTAAACGAATTCTTTAAACCTTTAGCTATCAAGTGGAGTAATTAAATGCTGGATGTAGATGATAGTTATGTAGTTGCAACACCAAACTATCCCTCTACGAGGGGCACACTGCAATGATCGGGAATTAGAAAAACCACATGCACGGTATAGCTAAATTGTATTTTATTGTTTTTCGAAGTATTCTCCGTTCAACTTAATGCACTTTTCCATTCGTGCAAACCAATCATTAAAACAGTAATTCCAGTCGGAAGTTGATGTTGACAAAATGGCTGATTTGTACGCTTCCACAGCTGCTTCGGGGTCTTCAAACCGTTGACCGCGTGATAAATCTTTCATTCTAGGTCAGGGCTGTACGGAGGATGGCTCATCAGCTCAACGTTTTCCTGCTTCAAAAAATCATTTGTCTTCTGAGCCGTATGGAAGCTCGCATTATCGTGATGTAAGATGATGCGACGTTTCGGGTTATTTTTTTGGAGTTCGACTATCATTTTTGGCAAACAAACCGTGATATAGCACTCAGCGGTCACCGTTCTGCGTTCCTGTAAAGGAATTGTAGTAACATAACCCTTTTTCGAAACAAACGTAGCGACCATTTTCTTTGACACGCTGCGGGAGGGAACCACTTTCGTTGGTTAGACCTCGTCTTCGAAGACCCAAACTGCTGATTGATGTTTTCTTTCAGGTTCGTATGAATAAATCCATGTTTCGTCACCTGAGACGATATTATAAACGGCATTTGACTTCCCTCCGTTGAAGCGTTGCAGAGTATTCCGGCACTAATCTACACAAGTCGCCTTTTGCTCATCGGACAAATTGTGAGGAAGCCAGCGGGAAACTAGCTTTCTTACACACAGCTCATTATGTAATATCGACTGAATTGCAGTCATTCCGATACTGATAACAGCCCGAATCTGCTCGAATATCACATGACGGTCATCTAATATAATAGTTCGCACAGCTGCGATGTTTTTAGGCGTGATCGCTGTTCTTGGTCGATCTGCATAAGAAACAGTGCTGACCGACACACGAACACTTCGAAATTCGGCATACCAGCGGTATATTGTCCTTTGATTCGGTGCTTTAACATCATAAATCGAAACAAGTTCGCTGAGACTATTGTGATAAATTATGGCACGGAAATGTTCACGCGTGAGCTCCATTTCTGTTAACGACGTGTCAACTTTAAACCAACTTAGTTTTTGTTTCTAAACATTTTTTTATTGTTTGAATGTCATTAAGATTCTAAGAGGCTAGTATTCAAATTCTAAAAAAGGTTTTATTGTAACTCAATCCGAAATATTCTATTCCCGATCATTTCAGTGTGCCCCTCGTATTTTGTTATCATCAGTTTTATGAATTACCTCCCACCATGGAGTACTTAGTGGTGGTGTAAGAATATTCACTACTCCATATCATCTTGTGGGTGTCGTACGAGGCGACAGAGGGAAACAAATCAGGAGATGGGCAGCAGCGTCTTCCTAATAACGATTAAAAATAAAACTGCGGTTGCCAACCCGTTTGCTAACTTTGGCAAATATCGCCCCTAGGAGGCAGTCTATGGGGGAGGCCTATGTTCAGCAGTGGACTTTAATAGGCTGTAACGGTAACGGTATGGAAGCAAATTTAAAGACCTATTCACGTCAAAAAGACACGGTAGTAATGTGGGCGTGGTCCGGCAGCACTACTACACGTACGGGCGCATGCTGGTGAAGATGGCGGAGGGCATCGGGCGGCTGGTGCTGTCGGGGCGCGAGCTCAGCCGCCTGGCCGGCCTCACGGCGCGCGTCACGCAGCTCAAGAACGTGCTGGAGGACGTGCACAGCGGCAACTACGAGCGCACCATGGTGGACCGCACTCTGCATAACGGAAGCGGACGTAAGTTTCCTTTTATCTTCATTAAATATTTTCAATGCCAAAGTGACCTTATGTTGTGTGTGGTAAAATACATCTTTAACTAACTTTTTTTTAAATACTAGTTATGCTATTAAACATTACTAATATTCCCTTTAACCACTTCTGGTAAGCTTAAATGCTTGTGTTAGAAGTGGTTCACGACAGTAGTCGAATGGCGGATTCGAACCCACGACCTTTCGAATTCGCGGTCCACGCCCTGCCATTAGGCTACTGATGCTTAATAATTTAGAAAAAGGAAGGTGCTCTATTTGACTCCATGTTCTTTTTTGTATGTATATTACGCGATGTCTTCGTCAGTTGTGAACTAATTTTCAACTACATAGAGAACAATGGCAGAAAAATGGTTGACAAAAATTATTGCGTCTAGAAATAAGTTATATATAAAATGAGTTTCATTATTTTTCTATGATTTTTCAAATAAAAATGTATTTTAATTAAACCCACAGAAAAAACAAACATTTTTGGGAATATCAAATGACTTAATCATTTTACTTTATTCAAGTGTTGCCATTTACTATATTCATCTATTTTCGTATAACTTTGTAAGACTACCAACACAACACACAAACACAAAATATTTTTATATTAAGTTGTTATTAGTAATAACTATACTATCACTAATAATAAAAATAAAAGTGATGGTTGAAAATAAGTCTCTTACAAAGAACTTCCTACAATAATACATCGTTATCTCAATCATAGTACTTTGTAACAATTCCATTTAATGTTATGGCAACACTAGCTACAACAAAATGTCACTAGTTTTTTTTTACTGGCTTTACGGCTCTGGGTTCTAGCCCTTCTGAGAATGTCACTGTATGACACAAAAGCCCTGCAGCCATGCGAGAAATATACATTTAGTATGCAAATATATAAAGAGATACAATAATCTAAATACTCTGAATTATGTAGGTAGGTACATTATGTTGAAAATGTATTAAGCTAACATCAAACAACCACAGGACGCATGACTTTTTCCAAGTGACAAGACATAACCTAAAAAGGTTCAAATAAAAATATCTTTTTTTGACGCCTTCTTAGGACAAAATTCTTTTACAGAATTATTAAGGGACTGACTTTTAATATATATGATATTTTTGATATATAGACGCTAACATTCCTTTTCAACTAATTTTATGTATGAAAGACTGCCATTGTTCTTTCATCCCATATTTTACCACCCTTAGGGGTGAAATTTCTTAAATAATAATTAAAATATTTGCGCTTGTGATATTCCTTAATCCATTCGAAAGATCATAGAAATTAGACTTTTATCAGGCCTGTCTCACTCCGCGCTTTAGGCATGAAAACATTTCGCGCGGCGCCGTATACGGGGCTAATTCCATGAGTTTGTCACGCGCCCACTCGAGCTGACGCGCGCCTTAATTTAACATAAAAATTATTTTTCTCTTATAAGTTTTTAGGCACTTTTAATATTTATTTATAAGTTTTTATTCAAGTATGGCCTTGGTGCTTAACAATAGGAATGTCGACTTTTCATTCTTTAGTGTTCCTAAAGACACCTAAAGATACGGAACACCGGAAGATAGACACCGAATATATTTTTATTTATAGGTAGGTCTAGATAATTGGGTACTTAGTTACTGACGCCATAGTTACAGATTTATTATTTGATTAGTGACCCGATCACAACTTTGCAGTTTTCGATTTTTTCACGTATAATTTTTTTTATAGGATAGGGCGACAAATGAGCACACAGACAATTCACCCGATGGCAAGTGGCTGCTGCGGCCCATATATATCTACATATATCCTCGTTTGCGAATCAAAATGCAGATGCGTTGTCACCCGTGAGGACTAAGATGGAATGCCTCTTTTCCAGTAAAAAGGGTCTCCGGTTCTCTACACTCACCATACGAAACACAGCAGTGTTAAGCTACTATTTTACGATGGTATTCTGCGAGAGCGTGGTCCTTCCCAGTTCGAGCCGACCCATTCGTACCACAACTATACTACTAGCTATATTAGTAGTATAGTATATGCATGGCTCTACATATACCACGTATAAAATGATATGAGTGATGAATGAATAGATGTTTCTGACGTATCCCATAGTCGCCTCTTCGACACTTACAGATATGTGGTGTAGCCTCTTAAACAACCATCTCAAGACGTTTTTATTTCATAAGTACTTAAGTTATTTTATTCCTTTTTGATAAACGAGTTTTCCTTCATTGTCATGGTATTTGTCATAAAATTCTACCTGATAATAGCCCTAACGGTGAAATTATCATCTTGTTTTCATATTTCAAACATTTCTGCTAATATGCCTTAATGTTCTGGGATAATGGGTTCCAAACGACCTACACGTCAGTTAGTGCAATTGTCGATCTTGATCGAGGCTGCCACTCGAGAACCTTTCTTCCACATCGGTTGTCGGTTTTTCGAACTATACGGCCGGCCCATTGTCACTTCAGCTTACTGATCTGATAAGCTATGTCGGTTACTCTGGTTCTACTGCGGATATCCTCATTTCCAAGTTTATCACGCAGAGAAACCACGAACATAGCCCTCTCCATAGCTTGCTGAACGACCTTGAACTACCTCATACGGCCAAGAGTGAAGGACCACGTCTCATATCTATATGTCGTCACTGACAATACACACTGGTTGTATAATCTGTTTTCAAGTTTAATATACCTCATATTTGACGAGATCTCCCGAACGCTAGCCAGCCGAGTTGAATCCGTCGATTAACCTCTCGGTCGATCTTTTTTACATAAATGGTATGATTTATGGTATAATAGTTAAAATATATTTTCAATATAAATTTTAATGCATGCAACTTTTAAAGGTTCTTTTTAATATAGTTTGGTTTGTTCGTAGTTGCTCCGATGGCGCTAAGTCCAGGGGCGGGTCGCATTATCTACCAAGACAAGATCATCCGCTTTGACAAAGTGCCGCTCGTCACGCCTAATGGCGACGTGCTGATCAAGGAGCTCACCTTCGAAGTCAAGTTAGTATTATATGGCGTAACAGTTCTATGGGAAACTTTAAGAATAAAATGAAATAAAAACCAAAATCCTTATAACTTTTTTCCATAAACACTAGACTAGGATGGTGTGTTAGCGAACGAAGCAACGAATTTTTTTTTTATAGGATAGGGGGAGAGGGAGAATGCTTTGATTACATTACATTTTTAGAACGCACACCGAGTATTTATTTACATTCCTCTTATTGTTTTGTGGGCAAGTGAAGCAATGTTTATAAGGAATCAATATTTATTATAAACATTCAAGATAAATATCGACATTAATTTTTATATAGTTGAGTCAATCCCTAGCGTACATGTAAAATATTTTGTTTAAAAATGTAATTTAAATGTATGTCTTGAGAATTTACCTGTGAAATGTGCAAATATCAGGATAATTTCTATTATTGACACCACAGTCACTCATAGAACAGGTAAACATTTTGGGAAATAATTACTTTCTAAAAATAACCACTTATTTTGCTATATTGCCATTTGCCATAAGGAATTTTCTTCTCCCTTGCACACTATGGCCGTCTATTATTATCCTAAGCATATGCAAGGGACTGTCACATAGTTACAGGAGCTATTACTGAAAACTCTCAGTCAAACAAACGATCTTGGTTTTACAGATTCCACTGTCAAAAGTGCCGTGCAGTGTAAAATGCCTTTAAAGGATCCTCCGATTCCATTCCCCAGGATATTCGTAGGGATCTATTACTCACTTCCGTGTAGTTTTTAGAATAGTGTACTGAAAAAATGCCATTAACTTCTTGAGATATCAAAGATAACGTCGATAGACAGTGAACATACCAATCTGTTGTCCGTTTAGGACACCTCCATTCGCACATATCGGTTCCAGCTAATCTGCAGACTTTTCAAGCGCTGTGTTTTTATTTAGGTCTGGGATCAACGTGCTAGTGTGCGGTCCCAACGGGTGCGGCAAGTCGTCGATGTTCCGGATGCTGGGCGAGCTGTGGCCGATCTTCGGCGGCACGCTCACCAAGCCGCCGCGCGGGAAACTCTTCTACGTGCCGCAGCGTCCTTACATGACCCTCGGAACCTTCCGCGACCAGGTAAGCGATGCCACCGCTGCCGCCATTGCTACCACTGCAAACACACGTGTGGTGGCGCAAGGAAATCTAACAACCAAGTGGCGGCCTGTAACTGTTGCCAATTAATGAATCCATGTCCACGATCACGCGTGCAAGTAGCTAACGCTAAACACGCTGGTTGTACTTAAATTAGCATGCATATTAATCTTGTCATCAGGTCATCTACCCCCAAACTCGGGATGAAATGATCCGACGCGGCCGCACTGATGAAGAACTGAACCGGTTCCTGGAAATAGTACAGCTTTCGTACCTCACAAACAGAGAGGATGGATGGGATGCTGTTGAAGATTGGATGGACGTATTGTCGGGCGGCGAGAAACAGAGGATAGCCGTGAGTTTTTTTATACACAGTTTTATTTTATTTATATTTCCAATACTGGTTGGTGTACAAAACATCTTACATTGTAGTCACGCTGCAGCTATATTACGGTTATAGCACGAATGGGTCGATTCGACTGGAGCAGGACCACGCTCTCATAGAATACTAGCGTAAAATAACAACTAATGTAAAATTAATGCTACTGTGTTTCGTATGGTGAGTGTAGAGAACCGGAAACCCTTTTCGGAGATTATTTTATGTTATTTATTATATATTATTTATTATCTAAATATAATATACCAATCCACGATTTCATAAATTCGTGCCATCTAGCGTCTATTGTACGGAACACATTGAGAAAATTCAAATTTTGTTTGACAAAAATACTACATAATGAATAAAATAGATGGCGCTATTACAAAGCAATTTTATTAGAAAGAAAAATGTCGCAATTGTGGTTGAAAATGATCATATTAAATAAATCATTTGCCTTGAAACATTTTTTTTATTTTATATATCATTTGTAGGTTTCACTTCTACCGCGTGTGAACTGCACGCATGTTTTTTTTTAATAAGTCGTGTTTTAGCAATCTAACGTCTATTCTAAGTACCACTTTGACAATCGATCATTTTTGTGCGATAAAATGACTTTACCTATAAAATGAAGTAGATGGCGCTATTACAAAGCAATTTTACTGATGATTTTCTGAAGCTTTCACTTCGTCTTTGTGTGAATTGCACCCATATATTTTGTATAGATTATATAGTACGATTGTTAGTTTTAATGTGTGGCATAACAGATGGCGCGGCTGTTCTACCACGAGCCGCAGTTCGCGATCCTGGATGAGTGCACGAGCGCTGTGTCCGTTGATGTCGAAGGACAAATGTATCAGTACTGCCGCGAGGTCAGTTCCCTTTCTCCCTCGCTCCCACCATTTATTTCCCACTCTTTTCCTTTCCTCTTCACCTCTCTTACTATAAGTAACTATAAGTATAGTCCTATAAACTTAAATTACGGGTATAGGATAAAACTACAGCTCTGTGGCGCAGAGGCTTTACGTTGAGAGCTGCGGGTTCGAATCCCGCACGAAACAAGTATCTGTATGGCCTAGAAATAATTGTTCTGGGTCTTGATGTTATCATTATGTAATTTATGATGTATATCTACCTCCACGATAGGGAGAAAATCCTAATGTGGGAGTAACGTTTTAAATAATAAGAAAAAAATATGTTAATTAAAGCATATTATGCTCTTCTAGTAGAAGCTCACACAAGCAAGATGCTTGGATTATGCAATAGCGAAATACATATATAGAGGTGATCGTGTAGAGGTGGTGTAAGAATATCCACTACCCCATATCTAACCGTGGATGTCGTAAGAGTCAATAGAGGGAAACTGAAACTCAAAGTTATAAAAAACTGCTGTTGCCAATCGTGGCAACTATGGCTAAATCCTCCTATGAGGCCATCTACGGGGAAGGCCTATGTTCAACAGTGGATTTTTATAGGCTGTGACGTATGGAATTGATGGATAAAACAACCTGTATCCGATTCCAATAAGAAAAAACTAAAACACATACCATCTTGATACACAAATCAACTAAAATGTTATATTTGTGTATGCGACAACGAATGTATTAACATCTTGTTATTGACTTATAACAAAGAAGTACACCGTCGTTTTGAAAGTGTAATAGGGGTACCAAGAGATTATGATGGTTTTATTTTTTAACCGGCTTCAAAAAGGAGGAGGTACGCAACTCGACTGTATGTTTTTTTTATGTTATACTTTTTTCTAGGTGAACCTATTTCGATGATTCTTTTTTTATTTGAAAGATGGTGATTCTCATGTGGTGCCATATAAATTTGACCAAGGTCTGACCAGTAGTTTTGAGTTATCCTTAATAGTTTATATTGAAGTCGGTTGTACAAAATTTTTAATTTTACCACTTGCACTTATGAAAATCCACTGCAAACCATTATTATAAAGCTGAAAGAACGTATAGTCTACATGATGGGTGACTGTTGCAGCCCATGAACATCTGCAACCAACCTCAAAAAAAAAGAAGCCTACAGATACGTTGTCACTTCTGAGGACTAAATTGGAATGTTTCACAGTCTTTAATAATATTGGCTCTCTAGCCTTCAGACCTACGCACGTAGTGTACGCACTGCTATTGGCAACAAAATTGGGTAAGTCAGTGGCACCTAGCCATATAGATAATCTAGGCAGAAAAGAAATACTTCCACATAGTGAGTTTAAAATTCCATTTCATTTTGATTTGTTTATACATTTAAAATGATCTTACACGTTAAGCAAACTCCCAATATGTACTTCACGTTAGTTTCACCAAACTCTGGCATTAGATACAGTATTAAAAAACATAGGTAATAAATTTTCCAGATGGGTATATCCTTGTTCACTGTGTCGCATCGCAAGTCACTGTGGAAGCATCACGACCACTACCTGCAGATGGACGGCCGCGGCGGTTACGTGTTCGGAGAGATCGACAGCGACACGCAGGAGTTCGGCTCCTGATCATACCATCGGATACTGCATCACTAGAACATCAAACAGTAGTTACCTCACCTGTAAAAATTAAACTCCTGTACAAATATATAAGCGAATATCAGGACTAAATACTTGGTAAAGCCACATTGTGGCTTAAGTTGTGACACAAGTGGCTCACAAAATTAAACAACAGTAAATGTTGTAAATTCGAATTCACCCTTGACTACTTTAGTGAATGATTCCAATGCAACCATTTTAAAATTACTGCTTAAAGCCACATGGTGGGTAACTGTGGCTTAAGTTGCTTAAGCGTGGCTTAAGTGTAACTCGACTGGCCAACAGAATTAAGCGACAGTGAATGTTGTAAATACGAATACACCCTTGACTATTTTCGTAAACGACTCTCATTTTAATAGAATTGCTAGTATTACCTATGAATAATATCATAAAGCTGTCGTTTGAGTATTTCTAAATCTTACTCCGCAAGCGACAAACACCTAAGTTGTAATTATCCTTGAAGAGTGAACAAAGGTTGTCTATGGTTTTGCAGTGAACATTTAACAATAATAGGGTACTTAACATTCATATCAATTGAAATACGTTTTATTATTAAAATTTTATTAGAAAAATGACGTCATAGGTTTTTATAATAAAATAAAAATTACTTGTATATTTTCATATACTAAAAAAGTTATATTTATCTTAAAACAAATGTAAAATCAAATTAGCTTTGAAAGTACTAAAAGTATATATAAGACGTTGTAATTTATTAATGATGGTATAAAATACCCATTTACTTTTTCCATTAAAAAATTTACACGAAACCTCGCATGGAAGATAACAATAATAATATAAATACTAATTTTGGAAAAATAAAAAAAAATAAAACCGATAACCACCTCACAGAGGTGATCAACATTCCAATCAGGCGCAGATCTAGGGAATTATGGGAATCATGACCCCAAAAATGAATATATTTTTGAAAGTATAATTATTTTGCTTTTACTCTACTTAAATAATAACGTGAGTGTCACCTATTGTACATCGTATTGTATAAAATAATAAGAGCGTTTTATAAAGCTGTACACACCTGCAATCAACATTATAAAAAAACAAACCACATAAATTTTATATATTGCGCAATAATTTTCAATTCCTATATATATAAATGTATATTCTTACAAATATTTACCAACACTGACTTACAAATATGTTGTAAGCAAACAAAATAATATATTGTTATTTTAATTTAATTATTTAAAAAGTATTGTAGTATTTTATAACATAATTTATTTACATTACATAGAAACAATATTTACAACAATGGAAAAATTAAATTATAAAGTTTGTAATAATAACTCATATGATTAATGAATTTTGAATACAATACATTTCTATTGTATTCTAACAATATTTAATGTCGGAAATCTCTATAATTCATCAATACTATTAGAAATATTAATTATGTGAAGACACTAATGTATATTTTATTTTCATTTATTTTTTTCCCATTATATGGAAATATGTTTTGCTTTCTTTATATTCATATGCACACATGCATATTGTAACTGTGACTGATCAAACATTTCGTTGTTTTATAAATAAATAAAAAATAAGAAGAATAATTTACGGAAGCGCAATGTATGTGAACTTGATTAAATTATTAATCACGTTCTTTAAATATTGGCTCTAATGTCCAAATACTCAAACGCTACTTAATAGACGTGTGTCAATCGTGAATGTGTCGATTCGTTCATTTGATCCGGGTCGCAAAGTGTTGATGATTGCAATTACATTTTTGACCGTTCCGGATCAAACGATTGACATTACCATTACGACCAGAGAGTATAGTAATGTCCGACGACCGACATTATCGAGCGGGTCTCACAGATCACAGAGTACTGAAACTAGAAATGATCCATTTGAATGATCTACCCGAATGACCCAGGTTCGTAAGACGAATCTATACTTAAATGATAGGATCACTAGAAATGAATGAATTACACATGTCTACTACTTAATTTTAAAATGTCGTTAAGTCTCGTGGTGTCACAGTCACTTTGACTTAAAGTGATAGAGACAGCACGAGACTTACAGCTTCTTATAATTGAGTATTTGGGCATTGCCCTTCAAAACGGGACACAGCAATGCATGCATTATTGTTTGGCGGCTGACATGTTATGACGTATAACATAATAAGTCTTCACTTTTCGTTTAAGTACTACCGTACATGACGTTACTGATTTAGGTACTGTTAACGTTTTTTTTTTAATACTTTTACCGTCTGAGGTATCACCCTCTTATCTTTTCTGCCACCTAACAGCTTTGCACTGCTGTCTTCCGGCCGGAACCTTATACCCTTCAGTGTCTGAGAAGCCGTGAGGTATTTCATTTTAGTCCCTAGAGGTGACAACGCATCTCTAGCCTTCTTTATTTGACGTTGGCTGTGTCCATGAATTTCAGTGGCCACTTATCATCAGGTGGATTGTGAGTTCGTTGATCACTTTAGCTTTATAAAAAAAAATTATGTTTTTAAAGACATACATTATGTATATAAAATATAGGTAATCATTTTGTTGATATCTTTAGTCCGACATAAATTTTATTTACAACCGGAAACATGAATATAATACATAAAAATTATCATTTTAATTCATAAAATTCATTCTACTCTTGAAAGATGCAAAAGCCTAGCTTTGACCTATTTTCAAATCTTTATGAATTAATTTGTATCATTCTTAGCAAATGTGCCGACAAATTTCATCCAACCATTGCCGAATCACCTTAAATGATTTGCGTGTTTAAACATTTGATATTTATGTATCCCCATTCATGTGTCTCTTACTGTATGTAAGAGTAACATTTGTTTAAAAAATTATATCGTAATAAAACATTTAAGGTTAAATAATATCATTGATTTTCTTATATACACCGTAATAACATTAGTTATGACTACATTGCACAATAAACTACATTACTAAATAAACATACAATAGGGATGGAAAATGAAACAGGAGGTGGATATCAGCATCTTCCTGATAACCACCTGAATTATTAAAACTGCGGTTCCTAACCCGTCTGCCTAACATGGCAACTATGACAATATCCCATTAACAGTTTCCCTGTCCGCGGTATAGACACAATAGTTAAACAATAGAAATGTTCATATATGATTTATGTGACAGAGAAAAGGTTATTAGATAATCTATGGAGGAAGCCTATGTACAGCAATGGTCTTTTGTTAGGCTATAATGATTGAATGAACATACAATATGAATATTCCATAAAAGTCATTAGCAAATGTAATAGGATTTTAATTATACTGTTTCAGGTATATTTGTTACTTTTTAAACTGTTACTAAAATAAATTCTAATACTTATAAGCATTTCCTAATAGGGGTATATAGCCCTTATCTAGAATATAACTGACATGTTTAATTTGACAACATTGCCGTTTGCCCATACTCTGAGCGGGTGGACATTTTCGAACACATACCTCATTGTTTACTCGTTGTCGAAATTAGTTAGCAAAGTGCAGGGTGAGAATTGCATTTGGATAATTGTATTTTCACAAATGTACCAATACATGCAATGAATACACACTACACATTATCTAGGGTTGCCAATTTTTATCAAGGTACAAATGTAGTGTTTTCGTAATCCTTACTCATAAAAGTTAATATAACGAGTTTTCATATAGTAGTAAGTTCCAAATTTTATCTTTTATAAAATCTAACTCCGAAGACATTCGTATTAAATATTACATTTTTGTGGAGAGCACATCGTTACCATAATCTACAGAAAAACTAGTTTTACAACAAATTTTCCTAACTTCTCGGTGGATTTTAATATATTAGTATAACCTAGGTACTGTGTAGTATATTCTTAGTAATGCAGTAGAATATTACTGCAGTAGTGGCAACCTTGGAACCGTCAAATACAAAATCGGGACCAGAAAAAAAATCTTATCTAAAAATCTTCATTTGTAGTTTTTTTTTATAATTATAATTACATAAATGACCAAAGTAGAAGTATAAACCGCGTATAAATTATTTTTAAAGGCTACTGGCTTAATTTCAAATAAAACAAAAACTTCACCATTAAAGATATCAATGTGTTATGATTTTTATTTAATTTATCTGTTTATTATGAAAAAATATAATCGTCGAAAATCGACATTATCGATCCGTTACCAGCTAAAACTATTACTATCGTTTTTTATGCGCTTTATTTCGCATTTAATTTTAACATACAAGGCTCATGCCAAAATAAACTAGATACTCAAAAATTACAATATTTATTTTTTATTACTAGTATCTATCCTCAAACTTATATCTGCATCTTTGCTTTAAAAAAAAAACATTTTTTTGAATCTGGTAAAGACTGGTGGGTGAGGTAGATTAGAAATATTTTTCAAATTAATAAGTCAAGTGCTCTGGCCAAACATCCGGTTGCCTGACTTTGGTAACTGGTAACACCAAGTTAACTATACTTTTGGGATGCAAACTTTCACACACCATTTTATGTTAACCACTCTTTGATCCTCTAGCATCACAGTATATAAATATAACCCTCTTCTTCTCCATTTAAATTAAATAACAAAGAAATCCGTATCAAAGTCTGTTTTATTCTTTATATTTCTTTCTTATACAGTTGCCACTTGTTGACGTGGTTATACTGCGTCATAGTTAGTTAATTTTTTTAAATATTATTTTGTGATACATATTTTACCATTTATTTTTAATTTTTATAATCAATACATATAGTTCATTACTGGATATAAGCCTGTTCAGTTACAGCGAGGTCCATGCCTAGCTGTAGATGTTATTTTTACTAAGACTTCATAATAATATAATAATAATTCAAATTTTAAAATTACTACATCAATTTTCATAAATCTTAATTATTTTAAAATACAAAAATGTCACTTTGTTTTGTTGGAATTAAACACGTTTACGTATATTAGTATAAAAAGTTAAAATATAAAAATAACTATAAGCCTTACATTAATATTACAGTTTTTTTAG